CATGCTGTGGTTGTAGGGATCCCGGGTCCTCTGGCAGTTGGAGAGTTACAGTGCTGGGTGAGGGTGCCCCGGCATCAAGGGGTCCTTCCTTATCACACGCTGTTTTAGATCTGCTCTTCTGTCATTAGCTCAGGTGACATCGCCCTGAGTGTTTGCAGGTCTGCCTGTCCCACTGGATACCAGGCTCCTTGAGTAGTCCGTCTCTTAGCTGAGCCACAGCTTAATAACTGCTTCCAGATGAGCAGCTGCACACTCGTTAATGAGTTAGTCAATTGAATGAATGGGAGCAGTCCCTTTGGAAGGACAGGCTCTGCTTCTGTGTGAAAGAGGAGTGACGGGCAGTCACCGAGGCTGTGACCTGGTGCTCAAGTGATTTCTACAGCTAAGCAGTTCTTTGTCTGTTTCCATGGACTTGACTTCAGCTGTTCCTCCATGAAACCTCAGAACTAAAAGAGGAACAACACAGACAGTGATCCAATTACAAATACGTTACTGACTAGTAAGGAAACTAAGCATTTCATTCTCCTTCATTCTCTGGTTAATGATTCTGCATCTGAGATGATGCTGTCACATCATAATTTTAGAGCCAGGGCTGGGCAGGGAGAATCAGCAAACTTCTTCTGTAAAGGACCAGACAGTAATTCTTTTTAGCTTTGTGAGCCATATAGGCTCTGGCACAATCACTAACTCCTGTTGTAGCACAAAATCAGGCTCAGACAGTATGTAGATAAATAGGTGGGGCTGTGTTTCGATAAAACTTTATTTACAAAGTTGGCTCTTGTTCTGGGTGTCGAATGCTACATGTTCTTTCATGTTCTTTAAAAATTATTAAGATAATTAAAAGTGTTCATTATCCCATTCTTTTTTTTTTTAGACACAGAGCCTCAAGCTGTCCCCCTGGGCAGAGTGCCGTGGCATTACAGCTCGCAGCAACCTCCAACTCCTGGGCTCAAGCGAGTCTCCTGCCTCAGCCTCCCAAGTAGCTGGGACCACAGGCGCCCACCACAATGCCTGGCTATTTTTTGGTTGCAGCCATCATTGTTGTTTGGCGGGCCCAGGCTGGATTTGAACCCACCACCTTGGGTGTACATGGCTGGCGCCTTAGCCACTTGAGCCACAGGTGCCGAGCCCATTATCCCATTCTTTATCTGCCTTTTCCTTAATAGCTAATAAAAAGATTGATTTCTTTCAAAAAGTAACACAGCCAGGTGTGGTGGCTCACACCTGTAATCTCAACATTCTAGGAGGCTAAGCTGAGTGGATTCCTTGAGCAAGAGTGAGACGTGTCTCTACTAAAAACAGAAAAACCATCCAGGCATGGTGACACATACCTGTGGTGCCAGCTACTTGGGAGGCTGAGGCAGGAAAATTGACTAAGCCCAGGAGTTTGAGGTTGCTGTGAGCTATCCTGGGGGTGCGGCCCTCTAGCCTGGGTGACAGAGTGAGACACCTTTTTCTTTTTAGAGACAGGATCTCACTCTGTCGCCCAGGCTGGAGTGCACTGGCACAGTCACAGCTCCACAGGGCTCAGGTCATCCCCCCCATCAGTCTTTATGGTAGCTTGGACTTAGAGATGCAGCACACCACACCCACTCCCTGTTTATATTTGTATGTGTGTAGAGATGGGGTCTTATTATGTTGTACAGGCTGGTCTCAAACTCCTGGGCTCACGGTCCTCCTGTTTTGGCCTCCCAAAGCCCTGGGATTACAGGAGTGAGCCACCAGCCCAGCCTAAGACATTTTTCCAAAACTCATTTTAAAAGATGTGTGTGGTTAGGGTAGCCAGGAGGTAGAATATGTCTATATAAACACGGCTACTTGAAAGAGTGATATGGTCCCTCCCCAGTCGCCTGCTGTGTCCCTGGTCCCTCCCCAGTTATCTCTGCTGTGTCCCTGGTCCCTTTCCACACCTGCTGGCCTGTCCTTCCATAGCCAGGGCCTCCCCGTCACTCCCTCCAGCCTGGCCCTGGGGCGAGGGTGGCCAGCAGCTCTGTACTCCTCTTCCTCTCCTTTCTTTCTCTCACTTTCCATGGTTGGGCTGAGTTTGTGCTGCCCACTGCCCTGGAAACGCTTTTGAACTTTATTTCCCTCCCAAAGGTACTGAGTCCAACCCAGTCTGTAGCCATTAGCACCCTGCCCCTCCTTCCCCTGCCCTCCCTAACTTAATTGTCTTTGCTCTAAGTGAAGTGATCATGATGGGGTTGAAAACGCCAAAGCTTTCAATGCGTCACTCCCCTAAGGACATGACACGGTTTACAGTCCCCATGCGAAGAGGGCCCGCTGGTGGCTTCACTGGCTCTCCTTCCACAAGGAGAGGGAGCATGTCGGTTGCTAAGCAACTCACATGCCCTGGCTTCTTTCAACAATGTGGACTGTGAAACAAAATCAGCAACAAACATTTGTCCATATGATTGAGTCCTCAGTGGGGGCTCATGTGGAAAGCCACATGGCAAACAGTTTTATGTCACAGAGTTGTATCCTTTTATTCTGTCCTTGATATGTTTCCCTGAGAACTTAGACAGGGTCACATGGAGAAGTGGGATAGGGGGGTGCATTCGGCCGTGCGCAGTGGACTAATAAGACTGATCATGAGGAGCTTCGGAGTTTGCAGGTTTGGTTTTTGCAGATTCAATGTGGAGGCTTCACAGTCACCCGCAGACACGTGCCGAGTGGTGGAAAGTCACTCCATGCACAGGCTCCTTGCTGAGGTAGAGCCGGTGACGCTCTGCCCTCGTGTCTCAGCTCTCAAACTGTTCACACGTGTCCTATCCACAGTCTCTTGAGTGCCACGTTTTTCATATCTTTTTGTTCTTTTGGATGGTGAGTTTGCTGATTAAAATCGCCCCCAAGTACAGTGCTGAAGTCTGTCTAGTGCCCCCAAGTGCAGGAAGGCGGTGATATGCCTTGCAGAGAAAGTACGTGCATTAGATAAGCTCACTGTAGGCGTGAGTTATAGGCTGTTGGCTGTGAGGTGAGTGTTAATGGACCAGTCATGGGGTGCACCCAGAACAAAAGAAGAGGAAATTCTTGATTTGTATCTTAGGCAGCTTCAGCAAGGGCTCAGGTAACGGCTATGGTAGAGATGAAAAAGTGCTTGAACTCGTGGGTTTGTGAGACAAGCAGGGTTTTTTTTTTAATTTTTTATTAAATCATAATTTTGTACATTGATGCATTTATGGGGTTCAGGGTACTGAGCAGTTTTTTGTTTGAGTATAATAGATAGCATTGTTGTGAGACTGAACACTAAAGAAATCTTTGATCATGTTACCCAAAGGCAGGAAAGGATTAATCTTTTTTTCCACTAGTATTTTACTATAAGGAAATACCACATATAACTTGTAAGAAACAGATTACATAAAGTGTCTAATTAACAAGGTTACGTATTGACCAATTGATAAAATGGTCGTGACCAGAGGTTCTTAGCGATCCAAGCTATATATTTCCTCTAAGAACGATGGTTCAGTGGTAATTCAGTGGTCACAGATATTTCATAGACTATAACTACCATGGAGAATGATATCTAACTGTATACGATGTCAGCCTGACCCAGCAGAGTCCATCGGAAACCCAGGCCTCACCCAGGGGCAATAGGATTGGGACTTGACTCCCCTGCTGAGTGCCTGTCTCCATGACATCCCTGCTGGGTAAGCTGGGAGGGGAGTTAAAGGTTTACAGCCAGCCCTGCTGGTCTTCCAGTCCCCCTTACCTCACCACTTCACCAGTGATTATTGGGCTTGAAGAGAAGCCCTGGTATGTTCTTAAATTGCTCTGGAACTGAGCCATAGTGAGCCCAGCGTCCCTGAACTGACACCTTAATTGGTCCCAGATGGGAAGGAAAAACGATCACTAGTACACCAGTCTTTCCTCCCCGAAGCCGGATGCAGGTCACATGTGCAATGGTCTCTGCCAGCAGGGGTCCGCACCTCCCGGAGTCTGCTGAGCTAGACAGTCTCTCTCCAGAGAGCTTTGCAGGGGACAGCAGACTACTCACAGGCTGACAGGACATGGATGTGAGGACAAGCTCCTCTCATCTGGTCTTACAAACACAAAACAGACACACGAACACGGGGCATGGGAGAGAGAGGCTAGCTCCGCCTTCAGGACCCAGGGATGAAATGACATTGGCAGCAGTCGAGAGGATGAGTGCTGATGAGGAAGTAAACAGAGGCCTTTTAAAAGCAAAGTGGGGAAAATGTTGGGATAAGTATAGGGACGGAAAAACCTGAGCCATTCGGCCAGATCATTTGGTAAGGACCTAGAAATGCCATCTGTAAACCGCTGGGCCTCACTCCCACCCCTTGGGCAGTGGCCCCACAAGACACCTCCAAAGTCCCCAGAGGAGACCTTTATGTAGAAAGCTCAGCTTCTCCATGGCTAACTGAGTGAGGGCCTGGGCCACTGTCTCTGCTTCTCCACTGATCAAGAACGAGGATGCCTTTCCTTCATTGCTACTAGGTGCAAAGGTTAAGAATTAAGGGACAAGAGCAATGGGGTACTTGGAACTCCTTAGCAAAGAAACTGTATGAACTACAACCACACAGATCTCTAGTATCTGCATGGCTGGGAGGACTACTTTTCATCGCAGGGATTGCCTGTGTACAGAAACTCCTGGAGCAGGGCTGTGTGCAAGCTAGCATGCACCTGCCACCAGTCACAGAGTCATTTTCTCTTGATCCTTTCCCCGTGTTTCTACTCCCAGGCCTCATTATATGTGATACCATTTGTTCACAGATACATAGGCACCCCCCCATCACAGGGACAGGAGCACCAAGGGAGGTGCTTTGTGCAAGTTCCATCCTTGGAGTTAGAAGCACTTGCCCAGTGCTTGCCAACTACAAATAGCCTCCTGCTAGAAATTGATGCTAATTAGTATGCCATTAAAAAGGGGGGGGACACCACCACCCACAACAAAATAGCCACAGACAGACCTGAAGTCCTACCCTGACAGCCAAAGGGACGCATAGCCCACTAATGCAGGCTTAATTCACTTTGTTTGGCAGAGAGAGCAAGCTCGCCATGCTGCTGCGGGAATCCCTGGGGAACATGAACTGTCGCACCACCATGATCGCTCACATCTCAGCCGCGGCTGGGAGCTACGCGGAGACCCTCTCCACCATCCAGATTGCCTCGAGAGTCTTGAGGATGAAGAAAAAGAAGACGAAGGTAGGGAGTTAGCAGGGGGAGCAGCGGATAAAGAAGCTTTTGGATCCCTGCCCTGAAACGGAGTCAGAATGAGCCAAAGGAACACAACGGACGCCCTGGGCGTCCAGGAGACGCGTACCTGGCTCAGCATCCCCCTTGGGGCGGGGCCGCACCTTCAGGCTGAAAGTCAGGGTCCCTCCCCACAGTGGGAGCTGTGCCTGGTCATCCATCCTGGGCCCTCGCTAGGGAGCCACCCTTTCTACTCTAAATAGTACAAATGGATTGCTGCTTTGAGAAGAGAATTTTTGGAGGGGTGGGAACTAGTCACAGGTTTTGTCTTGCCTGCTTGTCCTAGATTGATGAAGACTGTGTCCTGCGAGGGGTGGGCCCCACAGAGGATTATGAATCCCCTGTTCACGGTGCCCTTTTCCCATCTGCGTTTCCAAGAGTTGTATTTGGGCTGCTGAGTTGCCATGTTAATCCGGCGTTTTCTGCTAGAAGTCACTAGGCTTATTTTCTCAAAGGCAAAGCCAGGACATCAGTAGTGTGATTGGGGTGTCTGAGGAAACCATCACGGTCATGGGCACTCAGATCCAGAGTCAACTAATGATGCGTGGGGCTTCTTATTCCTTCTCCCTTTTCGTACCGTTTTTAAAATATTTTGTATAAAATAGGTCTTTGTATCCGGTGCTCCACAGTACAGGGTCCCAGAGTGGTGGCCCCTGAGTCCTTAGAAGGTCAGGTGAGGCCTAAGCTGTTCACTGCCTCTCAGGAGCAGCCCATTTCCCCGGCATGGTGGACAGGGATTATCCTTCACAAATACAGCCACAGTGTAGAACGTGGGGTGCACTAGCACACCCTGATTAATGGCCAAACAGGGTGGTCTTCAGTAGCCTGAATCAAGTTAGTGGCCTCCCCCGTTCCCCACCTGACGTCAGGCTGTGTGTGTGGATGCCTCGGAAGAGCCACCACAGTAACTGTTCTCTCCCTCACAGTACACATCCAGCTCCTCTGGGGGAGAAAGTTCTTGTGAAGAAGGCAGAATGCGCAGGCCCACCCAGCTGAGACCCTTCCACACCAGGGCCACGGGGGACCCTGACTTCCCAATCGCCCACCTGTCCAGTGATCCCGACTACTCCTCCAGCAGTGAGCAATCCTGTGACACTGTCATCTACATCGGGCCTAATGGCACAGCCCTCTCTGACAAGGAGCTCACCGACAACGAGGGCCCCCCAGACTTTGTCCCTATTGTGCCAGCCCTGCAGAAGACCAGGGGCGACAGCCAGGCCACGGAGGCAGGAGAGGCTGCGGCCAACAAATCAGAAAGGGACTGCTTGAAGTGCAACACGTTTGCTGAGCTGCAGGAGAGGCTGGACTGCATCGATGGCAGCGAGGAGCCCAGCGAGTTTCCTTTCGAAGAGCTGCCTGCCCAGTTTGGGGCTGAGCCCCTGAGCAAATGCCCCCTGTTAAGCCAAGGGGCTGGAGCAAGCCCCCTCTCTGAGTCTGATAAGGAAGATAATGTGTCTGAAGGCCCTCTGACTGAGAGAGAAAGCACAGACCCCCCAGCCTCCAAGATGCAGAGGAGTCACTCGCCTGTCCCTGCCGCCATGGCGCCCCCCCACAGCCCCAGCCCTGCCTCGCCCAGGAGCATCCCGGGCAGCAGCAGCCAGCACGGAGCCACCCAGCTTGTGCACAGTCCCAGCCTCCAGAGCAGCCGGGAGAGCCTGAGCTCCTGTGGCTTCGTGGACGGCAAGCCCAGGCCCATGGGCTCGCCACGGCTGGGCATCGCCAGCCTGTCCAAGACCTCAGAGTACAAACCGCCCAGCTCCCCTTCCCAGAGGTGCAAAGTCTACACCCAGAAGGGGGTCCTGCCGTCTCCTGCCCCCCTGAGCAAGGACTCTGGCACAGTATCTAGTGAGTCCTTACTGCAGCCTGAGGTCCGTACCCCACCAGTTGGAATGAGCCCCCAGATTTTGAAGAAATCCATGTCTGCTGGGAGTGAAGGGTTCCCAGAAATCCCCGTCGATGATGAGTGTCAGGCAGAAACCCCTCCAGATCCTAAGAAGGAGATTCTGAGCACCACGATGGTGACAGTGCAGCAGCCTCTGGAGCTGAATGGCGAGGATGAGCTGGTGTTCACGCTGGTGGAGGAGCTGACCATCAGCGGAGTCCTGGACAGCGGCCGCCCCACCAGCATCATCAGCTTTAACAGCGACTGCTCCGTGCAAGCGGTGGCCTCGGGCTCCCGGCCGGTCAGCATCATCAGCAGCATCAGTGAGGACCTGGAGGGCTACTCCAGCGTGGCTCCCGTCTCCGAGGTCAGCATCACACAGTTCTTGCCCCTCCCCAAACTCAGCCTGGAGGAGAAGGCCCGGGAGGCAGGGAGCAGGCGTTCCTCCATCAGCTCCTGGCTCAGCGAGATGAGCGCAGGCAGTGAGGGCGAGCAGTCCTGCCACAGCTTCATAGCCCAGACGTGTTTTGGACACGGGGAAGCGATGGCAGAACCCCCGACTGCGGAGTTTGTCAGCAGTGTCCAGAACACGGCTGTGGTGTGCAGAGAGAAGCCCAAGGCAGGCCCCGACAACTTGCTCATCTTGTCCGAGATGGGGGAAGACTCTTTCAACAAAGCGACCCCCATCAAAGGCTGCAAAATATCCACCCTGGGCAAGGCCATGGTCACAATCTCCAACAGGGCAAATCTGAGCAGCTGCGAAGGCTACATCCCCATGAAGACCAACATCACAGTCTACCCCTGCATCGCCGTGAGCCCCCGGAACATCCAAGAGCCTGAAGCAGCCAGAGCCACCCCCAAAGCCGCCCAGGCCCAGGAAAGTAAAGAAGCCAGTGCAAAGAAAGAGATGAAGTTTGAGGACCCCTGGCTAAAACGAGAAGAGGAGGTAAAAACAGAGACTGTTCAGCCTGATGACAACGAGGGCATCAGGTACGAGATGGCCACAGGCCCCACAAAGGGTGAGGCCAGAGCGGAGCAGGAACAGGACAGAAAGCCCAGCCCTGGGGACAAGCTCGGCAGCAGCAGTGGGGACGTGTCAGCCTCGCCGGTGACCGACAACTTCAGGAGGTTTGTGGATGGGTGTGAGATGGCCCTGCCGGCTTTGGCTGCCCAGAGCCCTGTGTATCCCAACAAAAGTGTGAAGTCAAGCAGCCTCCCAAGGGCTTCCCAGAAAGCCGGCAGGCAGGAGGAGCTGGACGGCCTCTTCTATCACTGCACTGCGGAGACCAACGGGATCGGCACAGCCACCGGCGCCCAGCCCTCCAAGGCCACCCTGGATAGGAAGGTGGCTTCCCCCAAGCATTGTGTCCTGGCTCGGCCCAAAGGGACTCCCCCTCTACCCCCTGTCCGAAAATCCAGCTTGGACCAGAAGAACCGGGCGAGCCCCCAGCACAGCGCCAGCAGCAGTGGCACCAGCAGCCCCTTGAACCAGCCAGCCCCCTTCCTGGCCGGCTTCCCGGATGAGCCCAGCAGCAAGATGAAGGACGCCAGCGGCAGCAGCAAGCTCTTCAGTGCCAAGCTGGAGCAGCTGGCCAGCAGGACCAACTCCCTCGGCAGGACGACGGTCAGCCACTACGAATGCCTGTCTCTGGAGAGGGCCGAGAGCCTGTCCTCCGTGAGTGCCCGGCTGCATGCCAAGGACAGCACCATGCCCCGCGCGGGAAGGAGCCTGGGCCGCAGCGCGGGCGCCTCGCCACCAGGCACCGGGCCCTGCCAGTCGGCTGGGGCATCGCCCAAGGCCACCCAGTCCAAGATCTCTGCCGTGAGCAAGCTCCTCCTGGCCAGTCCCAAAGCGCGCAGCCTGTCCACCTCTACCACCAAAACCCTCAGTTTCTCCACCAAGTCTCTGCCCCAGTCGGTGGGCCAGAGCCCCAGCCTGCCCCCCGGCGGGAAGCACATGTCCTGGTCCACGCAGTCCCTCAGCCGGAACCGAGGCTCGGGACTGGCTTCCAAACTGCCGCTGCGGGCAGTCAACGGGCGCATCTCCGAGCTGCTGCAGGGCAGCGCGGCCGCCCGGGCCTCGCAGCTGCGGGCCAGGCCAGACTCGGAGGAGCGCAGCGGGGCCCCTGCGGAGGACAAGCCGGCGGCCGCGCACCTGCTGCCGTCGCCCTACAGCAAGATCACGCCGCCGCGGAAGCCCCACCGCTGCAGCAGCGGCCATGGCAGCGACAACAGCAGCGTGCTCAGCGGGGAGCTCCCGCCAGCCATGGGGAAGACCGCCCTGTTCTACCACAGCGGCGGCAGCAGCGGCTACGAGAGCATGATGCGGGACAGCGAGGCCACCGGCAGCGCGTCCTCGGCCCAGGACTCCATGAGCGAGAACAGCAGTTCCGTGGGCGGGCGGTGCCGGAGCCTCAAAGCCCCAAAGAAACGGTCCAATTCAGGTAGGCTGCGGGCACAGGAACCGGGAGGGCGCTGTTCCCTGGGCTGTGCAGGTGGTGAGGAGGCTTCCAGGCCTGCAGGGGGACTGAGGCCTGGCCTCTCGCTTCCTCACAGCCTGTCACCCTGCAGGTCTCAGCCAGGGACATCATAAAACCAGGTGTGGCTTCACTGGTGCGCACAGACCTGCCCCACTGTTGTGGGCATCCTTAGCCTTAAGGCCAGGAGTGCTGCTTGGCCATCAGCAGGGTGGGAAGGCCAGGGCAGGCTGCACAGGACACCCCCCATCCACTTGTGGGGGATGGAGGCTCTTAGCTGTGGGCTCCCCTCACCTGTGTCCTGAGATGTGGGTTTATCTGCTCCATAACCAAGAATACTAGGTAGCATTCAGCACCTCCTGAAGGACCCCCATCACGGTAACTAACCCGTGACCCCGAGGCTGCAGAAGCCTGTGAGGCTGGTGGCCTCCAAGACTCTGGCAGCCTCCCAGGGACATGGGGTAAAGCACAGTTTGTCACATTGAATGTGCAAAGGGAGAGGCCTGGTCTCCACCTTCACCCCAGACACACTCGGGGACAGTCATGTTTGCACACCCACCATCAGCCTGCTGTGTCCCCCCCACCCCACCATGGTCCTTAAAGGGCGTGTTTTGGAGGAGTCTTTGCCACCCCTAGGAATTGTCCGTCCAAAGGCACACACTCCAGAAGAACTAAGGTATGGCGCCCATTGACATGTGAATTGGAGTTTCCAGTGACACCTGACAGTGAGTTCTGATGGTCAAGAAGACCCAGGTCAGAGCTGGTGCCTTCGTAGCCACTAGCTAGGTGAGGTGTAAGGGCAGCAAGGAGAGAATAAGACACAGAGAGAGGCAAACGGGACCAGGAACAATTTACACTACTTGAAATTTTGCTTAGAATCATCTCTACTCTTAAATGGCTTCCCCCCAAATGACCCCTGCTTATATTTTAGCCTACAGACTTTTTTTTTATATTCATATAAACTTTATTTTTTTATACATTAATGCATGTATGGGGTACAAAGGGCTGATTTTATCATGAAACAAAATCTTAAGTTGAGCTCTACCTGTGATTCTGCATCTTTGAAGATGAGGAAATCATCTGAGGTGAAAGGAGGAGGGCCTGGGGTCCTGTCCTCCTGGCCTGTCCTTTGCCCTTCTGTGGGATGCCAGGCTCTGCAGAGTACCAGTGTGGCTGCATAGTTGGGATTAAAAGCCAGGGTGAGAGGCAGAAGTGGGGCCTCCCCTCTCCTGCTCCTCCGGTCACTGCCCCCGGGGTTTTCTCTCATTCATGGGGTTAGTTCTCCTATTCTCTCACCATGGGTGAGTTAGGCTCTGGAATGCTCCAGCCCAAATGGAAGGTCTGTGGTCAATGCACAGCATAAAACATTTGTCTTCCCCAAATCCAAGAAACCCACCTTAAGGGACTGTGCAGTTTTATGACGCAGACAGCCTCATCTGCACACTCCATCGCAGACCGTGGAACCCACCTGCAGGATGTTAAGCTCTGAGCCTGCTGGGAATGGCTGTGGCTGTCAGCGCCTCCTCGTCCCTCTTCCCCAGGCCTTTGATACACTTTGTGCTTCACCTTACCCCTTGGTCTCAGCAACAGTCCTGGAAGCAGAACCCCATAGAAGACAAGTTGGAAATGAAAAGCTCTTTAGTGTAACGTAACAATGGCTGTGTCCTATTGCCAGGGCCAAGGGCAGTGACACGTTGATATTAGTTACTAAAAATCATAGAAGGGAAAAACATCTGCTGGTTATAAACCTTCGTATTATCTACCCAGGCTTGTTCGTCCGTGTGCTGCAGATGGTAACACGGCTTTAGTGTTTCATGTCCTCTAACTTAGCACCCGTGTTTACCAATCTATTTCATACCTTCAATATCTTTAACTCTTTTCCTCCAATTTTGTTGGGGGTGGTGGTGATTATACCGAAGTAACAAGGAGGAAAAGTTGTGGGGAAAAATGTGCAAAATTACTACTTGGAGAGGGGACAGTAGGCCCTGTTACTGCCCTTGCCCTGGGCAGGGCCCTTTCATAAACGCTGCCCTCTGAGGGCCTCTCGTTAGGTAAGGCTGTCGGAGGAAAACCGTGTACGATAAAAACGCCAGGGTCAGTGCTGGAGATGGGATTTCGTAGAGAGAGCGCCAAGAGCAGCGGACCTTTGCAGTCTGCTGCCGTGGTTCCAGGGCTCCGTGATGGATATGGCAGTGGAGATGTGCTCATTTCAGGGTAGGTGACCTTGTCTTGCTTATTTATGATTATTATTAAGAGAAATGTTGGCTGTCAGGCATGATCAGCATAAATCAGAAGCAACTTCTTTAAGAGAAGCCATAAAACTTCTCCGAGGAAATTCCTAACTAGGTGGCTGGAGTTCACAGCGGTGAGAGATGTTTGGAACTGCAGAGGAGACAGTTATCTTTTATGTGAGATGACTCTGAATTTGGGAAATGTTAATGCTTTGGTTATTTCCTTAGTATAAATGAACTAGAATTATGGGACAATAACCTTGACCCCTCTGATTCCTCTGCAGTACAGATGACAATAGAAGCAACCAGATAGCATGATGGTTCATTATTTCACTCCCGTTCCTGGAGCCATGTTGTCGGGGCATGCATAGGACTGGGCTTGTTCCATGAGCCAGAGCACAGTGTAGTAGGAAGATTTAGCTTGAAAGCAGGAGGCCTGAGGTCTTGAGCTATGTGACGTTTGGGGAATAAGTATCTCTGGGCTTCAATTTTCTCATGTATAAGTAAGGTGAGAAGATTGGTAGATAATAGCCATGGTCTCTCTGCTGTTCACATCATATGAGATGGTGAAAATGGCACCAGAAATGCTCATAGGACATCTTTGATGGATGATGTCCTCTTAAGATGATCCATAATCAGTGGGATTTTTTTTCAGTTGTTAAACATTGATTGGGCAGCTTTTATCCTCCTAGAGCAGTGGTTCTCACCCTTCTAATGCTGTGGCCCCTGAATACAGTTGGGAACCCACAGGTTGAGAACCACTGTCTTACAGCTTGGTGGTATGGAAGTTTCGGGCATGTGGCTGTAAGGTATGGATATGCATCAGAGAAAGACAAGGCCACTGTCAGAAGTTTGTAAGAGAAAGGATGACAGGTGAGGAACAGTGAACTGAGGCTCATTGCTAAGGGCCAAGTGACATAGTACAGATCCAAGTGGACAGAGCATTTAGACAAAGGCAGAATCCAGCAAATCTGAGCACTTGCAGAAGAACACAGGGTGACATCAGTATCGAGCTAGATCTGACCTGGATGGACAGAGTGGAGGATGGTGTAGGACGAGACGTTAACAAGAGCACAAGCTTGGTGCATGGCCTGCACAAGATTAACTTGGTGCATGGCCTGCACAAGATATTCCTACCAAGCGTAATGAGAGTAGAAAATGTAAACCCAGGCTGGGGTGCAGTGGCTCATGCCTGAAATCCTAGCACTCTTCGAGACTGAAGGAGAAAGATCCTTTGAGCTCAGGAGTTCAAGACCACCCTGTCTCTACTAAAAATAGAAAAATGAGCCAGGTGTTGTAGCACATGTATAGTCCCAGCTCAGGAGAATTACTTGAGCTCAGGCATTTGAGGTTGTAGTGAACAACAATGATGCCACTGTACTCTAGCCTGGGCAACAGAATAAGACTCTGTCTCCAAAAAAAGGAAAATGTAAACTCAGATTAAGTTATGCCTTGAACATCTAGGAACTATTATATAATAGCAGAACACATTATTCTATAGAACTAGAGCGAGAATGTACAATATGGTATTATTATAGTTGGCAAGGGAGAGTCTTGGTCAAGTTCTTGATCAAGAATGTAATAAGGTGAGAGAAACTTTAGGTTGCTTTTATTGATGGATTATTGATCCAATATCAGTTCCCTGCCAGCCCCTTTATGGTCAGCAACATGAGTTGTATATAGCCATGAATTAGAGCAGTGCCCACCAGCCCAGGGAGAAGCTTACATTGTCAGTGTGCATGTAAGCTGCTAAGAGGGTGGAAATACTCAGTTTATGCCACGTTTGCACCAAGCAACCCCGAAGCCTGACGCAGCTCCATCCCTCTCGTCTCCTCTATTATGTATCATGTGCGCTCTGCCACGAGTACTCTCCATCTTCTTCCTCAGGTCTCTTACATTTCACCCTCAACCTGGCTTCTTTCTGTCACTTTCCAGACTAGATGGGGAAGTCTGGCAGTTAGATGAGCACCTTGGTCTGAATGAAGTTCATTCCCCTCACTGCACATCAGGCACAACCTGCAGAGAGGCCAGATCTGGTAGGACCC